CCTCCTCCTCCTCCTCCTCCTCCTCCTCCTCCTCCTCCTCCTCCTCCTCCTCCTCCTCCTCCTCCTCCTCCTCCTCCCCACCTCCTCCTCCTCCTCCTCCTCCTCCTCCTCCTCCTCCTCCTCCTCCTCCTCCTCCTCCTCCTCCTCCTCCTCCTCCTCCTCCTCCCCCCCCACCCTTCTTCCTTCCTCCTGCCCCCTCCACCCTCCCCCCTACTCCCTCCTCCCAACCCTGAGACTCCAGGACGTCCACTGATGTTTGCTGTGGGAACGTCGCCCTCCCCATCGAGAAGCCATCGAAACCCAAGAGACCCAGGGCACCCTGGATGCAAGCAGGGTGTTTCTTGGCACGGGCCCCCAATGTATGCTTCCCCACATGGACCAAACGGCCGTTCCAGACGATCCGGGCATCCCTCGGCACGCTCGTGGCAAGGCGGAGCTGCTGGGAAGCATCCCGAGACTGACAACCTCCAGGCCCCGATCTGAACGGGGTCTCGCCCCCTGGGCCAGACCCCCCCAGTCGGCGCTCCTGAACGCCCCTGGAGACCTCTTGTCGGCTGCACGCAAGGGTGACCATAGGCAAGAGCGACCCTTGCTGTGTGGCTGTGGAAGGGGACGCCAGGGGGGGCCTGACCCGAGCTCGCAAGCTGCTGCTGTCGCCTTGCCCTCATCGATCGAGAGGCCCCAGTGTCGAGCAGGCGGTAAGGGGGTGTCACCTGCATGGGAGATGAAGAAAAGGGCCCCAAAGGGGCCCTTTGGGGCGTCTTTTGGACAGGCCCTCGAGGGCCCCCCTATGGGGCCATTTCTTCACCCCCCATGTAGGTCACCCCCCAGTACCACCCGACCGACACTGGGGCCCGCGCAAAAGGTCACTCCGGCGAAGGGCCACTACAGCTGGGGCGTTTACCTAAGCGCCCTGAAGAAGGAACGAGGCCCCCTTCTTCCACAAACGGAACTTCGAACTTCGATAACACCCAGAAAGACTACCTGAGGCAAACCGTGAAACAGTCAGTTGAGGAACGCGGAGTCCCTCCCCAACGAGAAGGGTGTCTTCTTCGGCGCCCAGACTGTCGTGCTGGAGGCCTCCTAGATGGGGTCCGAGTAGATGGGGTCGGAGGATCGCGGCGCACTTCCGATACATCGGCGATACATCGCCGATGCATCGGCGATGCATCGGCGATGCATCGGCGACGCCAGCGTGGAGATAGTCGAGCCACAGCAAGCCGCATCGCCGATGCATCGACGGTACGGCGCGATCCTCCGACCCCACCTGCTCCGACCCCGTCCGGGAGGCCTAGAACTGCGTGCAGCCGATCTCGGGAGAGCACGGAGGCCCGCCCCGCCAGCGGGGGACCGCTCGCACCCAGCCCCGCCGCCTCTCGCAGAGAGCGGCTGCCTCTGACCCCAAGGGCTCCCCAGCTTCGCGCTCCGCGCGGCGCGAAGCGCAAAGTGCGGACGACTCCGCGCTCTCTCGCGCCGCCTCCCAGGGGAGGAGAGGAGGACGAGGAGGGCTCGGGGCCGAACCGCGGAGCGCGGAGCGCGAACCACTTCGCGCCCTCGGGGGCGCCCTCGGGGGCCCTTGCTCGAGGAGCCGCTCGCCGCTCGCCGCCGCCGCCGCCGCCCTCGAGGGCCGCAGGGCGAGTGCCCCCGGGCGCCCGAGCGAGGACCTCTCGAGGAGAGGCCTCCAAAAGGGCGCCCGAGCGAGGACCTCTCTCGAGCCCCTCCGGGGGCCGAAGGCCGAGTCTCGCCAGCCTCGAACTTTTATCCCCATCCCTGAGATTGACACGCCAAAAGGCGATCCTCATACCAATTCGCACTTATCCCATACCAATTCGCACTTATCCCTGAGTATCACCAGCCTCGAACCTATCCCCATACCAATTCGCACTTATCCCCATCCCAGTCGTAGGGATGCGCCCTGAAAAACTATAGGCATCCCTAAGCTTGGCATTGTGATGAGGCGATGCCCAGCTGAGGGATAGGGATATGTTCCAGGCTGGTAAGAGTCCCCGGGGCCTCCGGGGGCCTCTCGAGGACCTCTCGGGGAGGACGGGGCTGGCTGGGGGGCAGCTCGCCGTCGCAGCCGCCGCTGCCGTCGCCACCGCCGTCGCCGCCGCCGTCGCCGCCGCCGTCGCCGTCCGTCGCCGCCGCCGTCGTCGGCGCCACCGCCGTCTTCGTCGTCGGCCCAGGATCTCTTCAGGCTGAAGAGATTGCAAATTCGATACTCCACGGTCGCCGATGCCGCCAATCGCACTGGGAGCAACACGGGGGACGTGCACAGGTGGGACAGGGGGCAGAGGAAAATCGCTGCAAACGGCCCCTGAAGGAGGAAATGCGGGCATCCAGCTGGGCTCGTTGCTCAACACAACCTTGAGATACCCTTCCCTCTACGAACCACCGACCATCTGAGGGGCAACGATAATGGGATTGGCTCAGAGGAGAAAACATCGGACCTAGAATCGACAGTATCCGCCGGCCCCCTTCCGGGCCATCAGGCTGCGAGGCTTAAGCTTGCTGCTCCCTGCACCAGTACCAGTTTCCAGTTTACAGTTTCCATTGTTACAGGGGGCCGGCGGCAGGGGGCGAAGCCCTTACGGATATCTCCTATAGATCGACGATAGGCCCTAGATGGCGAATCCGCACGATCGTTGGCGGTGTGGACTACCAGGCCCTTATCAACGATCAGTGGGCGATTGGGCGTCGATGAACTCCCCGCCTACCCACACCTTGGAGCGAGGCGGAGGGGGCCACGGAAGGCCCTGTTCGGCCAATGTGCGCGTTCCTTCCTCCTCCTCCTCCACCTTCTCTTCCTTCTCCTCCTCTTCCTCCTCCTCCTCCTCCTCCTCCTCCTCATGCCTCTTCCTCCTCCTCCTCCTCCTCCTCATGCCTCCTCCTCATGCCTCCTCCTCATGCCTCCTCCACCTCCTCCTCCTCTTCCTCCTCCTCCTCTTCCTCCTCCTCCCCCTCCTCCCCCTCCTCCCCCCCTACGATGTCGCTGGCCTCCACGAGCACCCCGACACCCGCATCGGGAACAGTTCTCACGGCAGGCGGTGGCGGCCAACGGGTAGGGAGCAGCGAGCACCTCGTGCCACTGCCTGCGCGCCAACACGAGGAACAACACACAGTAGACTGTAAGCAACCACATGCGACCCCCACCCCTGCAGTGAGGGGCAGCGATTGGGGGGGTCGGCATAGAGGGGGGGGGGATGCATCGACCTGGAATCGGCGATACATCGCCGATAGATCGGCGATAGGCTCCCGGTCGTGAATCCCCACCTTCCTGGGCGGGGTGGGGCTATCGGGTCCTTATCGGCGATCAATGGGTGATTGGGGATCGATGCATCCCCCCCTATGCCTATCCCCCCTATCGCTGCCCCTGATGCAGGCCAGAAATCTAAAGCCCTGGCTGGGGGTCAGTCCCCAGGATGCCTGCAGCCAGGAGGAGCCCAGCGGGGGCCTCCGATAGCTGCCCCAGTGCCGACTGGACCCGCAGGGGTAGCAGACACAAGCGTTCAGAACTCCACTCGAAGAAACGCGCCAGGGGCGGCGCCGGAGGCTCCGCCACGGGCGGGGCGTCCCGCGCCGACCTGAGAACTCCGCGAGGAGCTCCAGAAGACTCTGCCCTGCCTGCTTCGGTTGTGCTTCCGGCGGAAGGCGAAACGGCGAGGCGAGGCGAGCGCCGGAGCCCGCTCCGCGCGCGCAAGAGAGCACGGGAGCGCGCCGATGGAAAGCGGCGCCGGCGGCGCCGGCGGCCCTTCGGGCGGTGAGGAAGTCCTGGGATCCGATCGGTCTCAAGGATGTGCAACGCTCTCCGTTGCCCTGTGCTCCTGACCGACCTCTCAACATCAGCGCGCCTTTGATGCGTCCAGCAGAGAAAGAGAAAGAGAGAGAGAGAGAAACAAAAAAAAACATGTGTGAGAGAGAGGGAGAGAGAGCGAGCGAGCGAAACATAGGGCAGGAAGCAGCAACGGCGGCAGCGGCAGCGGCGCTCCTCTCCCGCTCCTCTGGCTCGTCGGGCGGGGGCACGCTGCCCCGCCCCCCCCATCGCCACGCGGGCCCGCAGCGGGCAGGGGTCGCGCCGCGCGCGCGCGGGGGGGGAGGGAAGAGCAGCGCGCGGGCCTGGTCCTGCGGCTCGCTCAGGTCCTCCCCTTCCCCCTCCGACGGCCGCCCGCCCCACTGGCGCGAGCCCGTGCCCCTCGAAGCTCTCGGCGCCCGAGGGCCCAAGCTGGAAACAAGGAGAGCTCGATCGATATGGGGGGGCGGGGGGGGGCGGCCAGGGGGGGGGGGGATCTGGGCAGGAACGGGGCCAGGGACGTGGAGGGACGGCGGGAGCGGCAGGCGAGAGGAGGATGGAGAGGGGGAGGGAAATGAGGAGAGGGGGGAGAGGAGAGAGGACAGAAGAGATAGAATAGACGGCAGGGGAAAGAGGAGAGAGGCAAGCTGGGTGCGCTCGCGCCATATCTGGCATCCTACCCCTCCCTCCAATCCAGCCGCAGTGCGTTGATTGCTTTTCTATCAGCGGACGCGTGTCACAGCCGTCCTGGAAGTTCACAAGAGACCCTCACCGCGTTATGCGCGATCGCTGATTGGAAAATATGCGGCCTGAGGGACGTGTGGGACATGTGGGACATGTGGGACCTGTGGGGCACGTGGGGACTGTGGATCGGTGGGACCTGTGGGACCTGTGGGACTCGCGTGACTTCTGGGACCCGTGGGACCTCTGTGGCCTGTGTGGCCTGTGAGCCCTGCGACCCCCTCTGGGACATGTGGGACCTGTGGGATTTGTTGGACCAGTGGGAATTGTCGGACCAATGAAACCTGCGAGACCTGTGGGACCTGTGGCACTGGCCGGATTGTGGGTCTTGAGAGACTTGCGACACCGATGGGCCCTGTCGGACCTGCGGGACTGGTCGGACCTAACGTGTGGGACAGCCTGCGACATTTGTGGGTCCTGTGGGTCCCGTGGGACCTGTGGGTCCTGCGAGACCTGCGTCACGTGTGGGACCTGCGAAACCTGCGAAATCCAGAAGCGTGACCCACGCTGGGGCGAGAGCGCCACTCTTTCTTCACGCGAAACAACGGACTGCCTATCACCACGGCGGAGCTGCGCCACTTGAGACGGAGGAATTGCTCAACGATGGCGTGACCAACGCCAACCGCCACGCCACGACTTGGAAGCGGAAAATTCAAATTCACCCTATTACTTCGAAGGAGCGATTTGCTAAAGGGAACAAGTTGTTTAGTGAAGTGTTTCCGCTCGGTTGCGCGACAACCGCGGCTGCGCGTCCGAATTGCGGAGCCACGTCCTGCGCTCGCGCCCTGAATCTTCTATCAAGGGGCATCTACAACTCGCGGGGGGCATGTCCAAGGGTCGCCGTGACCCAATGCAACGCGACCCTGAAGTGGCAGGAGAGACAGGAGCCCCCCGCCCCCCAACCGGACCCTGGCCCCGCATCACCACCGCATCCCCGAGGCTTTACAAAGCTGACCGCGGACTTTCCTAAAACGAGGGGGCGGCTTCACTAAGGCGAGGAAGCGGCATTACTAAAGCGAGGAAGCGGCATTACTAAAGCGAGGAAGCGGCTTTAGTAAAGGCGCGCCGCTCGAGTCTTTCAGGAAAACACGACGTTCTACGAAAGCGAAAGGAGAGCTCTAGTACAGCGGAGGAACGGCTGGGGTAAAGCTGCGCGCAGAAATTTCACCCCTCGCATAAAATCTGGCCTGGGACTCCAGGAGCGAGGGCGGGGCGCAAGTTCGCCCGTGGGAACGGACCCCGTCGCCGCCGTCGCCGCGATGTTCGTCGTCGCCGCCGTCGCCGTTGCCGCCGTCGTCGTCACCGTCGGCGCAAGCGCCGCCGTCGTCGTCGCCGCGACGCCCGCGCATTCACGGAATTACCAGCGGCGGGTCGCGCGCGACCGCGCGTGCCAGCGCGCTCGCATCTCCGCTCGTCCGACGGGGGCCCAGGCGGACATCATGAATTCTGTGTGTTCACAACTCGTTTCAAATAACCGTGTGAAAAAACGTCTCTGAACTGTAGCACGAACATCATGAGCCCACGGAGGAAGAACAAGGAACGAATAGAAGGAGGCAACGAAGAGAGGAGGGACAGAGCAAGCAGGCCAAAACACTGAGCGCGCTGCGGCGGCAGCCGGCAGCCATGAATGACCCTACAACCACCACTCCAAGCACACAGAAAATGCGGGCCACTTGATGACACCAGCACAGGACGGCACGTTCTGGCATCCGCAAGAGTAAGAAAAGGACAGGCGAAGGATGAGGAGCGGGAGTGCGGGCGGACAAACGCCAAGCGCCCAAAGCTAGACAGGCGGTCCCGCGAACGTGGCCGAAATTGCCCCGGCCAATGTTCGGGCGCCCAGGGTATTCAGGCGGATGCTGAAAAGCAGCGCCAGGAGGAAGAACGGGAGGCGAAAACTGGGAGAAGGCAGCAGGGAGGGGGCGAGACAGAAAACAACAAAATACACAGATGACATCCATGTCAAAGGCAGACCCAACCGGCGAGCGCTGGAAGCTCGTTGAATCACAGGGGCCCGCCCTGCTGGAATGCTCGGCTTATGCACGCGTACATAATCTATAAAAGTATCGAAATAGATATGTATATATATATAAAAAAATATATATGTATGTATGTATGTATGTATGTATGTATGTATGTATGTATGTATGTATGTATGTATGTATGTGTGTATGTACGTATGTATGTATGTATACATGTAGGCATGTCGGTATGTAGGTATGTGTATGTATGTATGTCGGGATGGATGGATGGATGGATGGATGGATGGATGGATGGATGGATGGATGGATGGATGGATGGATGGATGGATGGATGGATGGATATATGTGTATGTGTATGTGTATGTGTATGTGTATGTGTATGTGTATGTGTATGTGTATGTATGTATGTATGGATGTATGTGTATATGTATGTATGGATGGATGTACGTATGTGTGTATGCATGTATGTATGCATGTATGTAGGTATGTATGGATGCATGTATGGATGTATGGATGTATGGATGTATGTATGGATGGATGTATGGATGTATGGGTGTATGGATGTGTGAATGTATGGATGTATGGATGTATGGATGTGTGTATGTGTATGTGTGTATGTGTGTATGTGTGTATGTGTGTATGTGTGTATGTGTGTATGTGTGTATGTGTATGTGTATGTGTGTATGTGTGTATGTGTGTATGTGTGTAGGTGTGTATGTGTGTATGTGTGTATGTGTATGTGTGTATGTGTGTATGTGTGTATGTGTGTATGTGTGTATGTGTGTATGTGTATGTGTATGTGTATGTAGGTAGGTAGGTAGGTTGGTATGCATGTATGTATGTATGTGTGTACATATATATATATATATATATATATGTATCCATATATATATACACATCTATAAAAATTCGCCCAGAGGTGCAGGAGGAGGAGGAGGAGGAGGAGGAGGAGGAGAGAAGGGAAAGAGCATGTGACGCCGAGCGACCAGGCCTCCAGCTGGCCAGGCGGCCCGCCTGCCCCGCGCCTCGGCGGGGCACCACGCCCTCGCAGCGGACCCAGGCAGACTCGCAGACCGCAGGCCGGCACACGGAGTCCTCCGAGCCTCGGCGCACGCCGCTGCGGCGGGGCGCCGCCAGAGCGCCCACACACAGAGGAAGCGGCACCGACGGAGACGTCGGGATGCTGTCGCGCCAGGGCCCAGCATCGGCAGCAGGACGAGGACGGCCGCGGGAGCGGGGCGGGCGGGAGCGGCCACGGCCCCACCGCTCCCGCCCCCTCATAACTGGGGGCGGGAGGAGCGCGAGAGCCGCCCCCGGGGAGGGGGGAAGGAGGCCGGAGGCCGACAGGAGCGAGACGGACGAGGCGGGCAGGGGAACCATGGAGGGGGAGCGTCCTGGTGCCCAGCGCGGCGCTGCGCTCGAAGAACAGCCTCATCGTTTCGCGATCGGCCCTGGGGGCGGCAAGAGCATACCTGAGATCTCCGTTCTCAAAGCCAGCGCTGCACCAATTCCACAAACCGCTTCGTGCTCTAACTGCACCTGGCATCTCGGACATCAGGCAACTTTGCATTGAAATCTGGTCGTGGCTGCAAGGGTCCACTGGGGTCGCTGCGGCGGCCGCCGCTGCCATCTCTGCACTGGAACTCGTGGGGCGAACCACGGGGTCCGCTACCACGAAAATCAATTAGAAACCTTTCGCTGAGAAGGCAGATCGCGCTTGAGCCACATGTCAACGGCAACGCTAACACTTGACAGCGGGGCACATGGCAATGCCCCTCACCGAATCGAACGCCCAGGTTCCCACACCTCCTCCTCCCTCTCCTCCTCCTCCTCCTACTCCTCCTCCCCCTCCTCCTCATCCTCCTCCTTGTGAAGTCTTCATCCGAAAGCACTTTCACAGAGGTCCGGGCTTCGATCTCAAGGGGCACAAGGGGAGCAGGAGAGACATTTGTGTTTACAGACGGCTGCCATGCTAAACTCAAGAGGACCGCAAAGATCAACGGTCAGGTGTAACACGGACTGCTGATCAGGAGTCGAGAATCGAAGACTGAGGAGGCCTGGCTGCTGTACTCTTGATCTTGCCCACCAGCTCCCCTCCGCAGCGCACTGGTAGTCCACGGCGGCCCGCTTGTGCGCCCCCAGGCCGGTGATCACGTCCCCGCGAACCTCCGAGCCACTGCCCACCCCGCGCCGCGCGGCCCCGACCCGCCGGCGTCGCGCCAAAAGACCTCGATGATCGAGGCCCGAAATCCGAGGCTTCTGGGCGTGTTTGAGATCTGCCGGCAGATCGGCGGCGGGCCACCGAGGGCGAAACCGTCCCTTCCTGGACGGGCTGGGCTGTCGGGCCGCTGCCTCTCACGAGGGAGGTCCCAGGCGCTCTGGGAGCATCCGCGCGGGGTGGGGCCTCGGATCAGTCGGCCGCCGTCGTCCGCCGCTGGCCGCCGTCGGTCCTCGACGGCAGGCCGCCCGTCGTCGGCCGACGTCGGGAAGGCGTCGTCGTGGACGGTCGTCGTCGTTCGGCGCCGTCGTCCGTCGTGCGTTGCCTTCCGTCGTCGCTCGTCGTTCGCCGTTCGGTGTTCGCCATTTTCGTCGGCATCGTCAGCCGCCAGCCGTCGGCCGTCGGCCGTCGGCCACCGCCGCCGCCGCCGCCGTCGTCGTCGTCGCCGTCGTCGTCGTCGTCGTCGTCGTCGTCGCCGTCGCCGTCGCCGTCGTCGCCGTCGTCGCCGTCGTCGCCGTCGTCGCCGTCGTCGTCGTCGTCGTCGTCGCCGTCGTCGTCGTCGTCGTCGTCGTCGTCTGCGGTCGGCCGGCACCGCGCGCGCGGCAGGCCGGAGGCGGGAGGCGCGGCGGGAGGCGCGGGCCGGGCGGCGCCTCGAACATCCTCCGCAGGGCGTCCTCGGGAGGGTGCGGAGCGGCGGGCCCTGGGGGGGGGGCGGGGAGGCGGAGAGGAGGGGGGAGGACAGACGGAGACAGAGAGAGGCAGAGAGGAGGAGGAGGAGGAGGAGGAGGAGGAGGAGGAGGAAGAGTTGGAGAGGAGGAGGAGGAGGAGGAGAGGAGGAGGAGGAGGAGGAGGAGGAGGAAGGAGGAGGAGGAGGAGGAGGAGGAGGAGGAGGAGGAGGAGGGGAGGGAGGAGGAGGAGGAGGAGGGGGAGGACATAGACAGGCAGGCAGACAGGCAGGCAGACAAGCGAGCGCAGGCAGGCACGCCGGCGCTGGAGCACCGACTGGGGTGCTGCGGGAGCGGCACGAGGTGTGGGCTGCTCGCGCAGCGGGCTCACACACGGTGTGACACAAACGTTGATCAGATCTCATTCCAAGATTCCGTTGATGCATACTGATGCACCATTGGGGGGGGAGAGGGGGGAGGAGCGAGGAGGGGCGAGACGGATTCGGTTATTCTACCTATACGACCACACTGCCGGTGATAAGGAGGTTGGGGGGGGAGGGGGGCCAGCAAAGGGCAACAGTGGTGATTGTTGCGTTGCCGCTCGCTCTTGGGAGCCTTGGTGTCGAGTTGTTTACGTCATCCTTCGCTCTTGGGCGTCTTGGTATCAGTATCCCCCTATCGATATCACTCGATATCACAATCATATCAGTATTAATCTCCCTATCGATATCACTCGATCTCACAAACGATATCTATTTATCTCACTATCGATCTCACTATCGATCGCACGAACGATCTCGCTATCGATCTCACTATCGATATCGTTTTCGATCTCACTATTCATCTCACTATCGATTACACTATCGATCTCGCTATCGATCCCACTCGATCGATCTCACTATCGATCTCACGAACGATCTCACTATCGATATCACGATCGATCTCACTATAGATCTTACTATCGATCTCTCACTGTGATCTCACTATCGATCTCACAATCGGTCTCATGATCGATCGCACCACCGATCTCACTGTCGATCTCAATGTCGATCTCACCACGGGACACCACGGGACAACGGCCCAGCCACGACGGGTCACCGGCGGGACAACAGCGGCACACCAGCGGGACACCGGCGGAACACCGCGCGCCACCAGTTGCAGGGCGGAGGACCTTTTGGTCCAGCCGCGGCCCAGTCACAGAAAAATGTCCTCTCCCCCGCCCACGCAGCTTCGCCTCGCCCGCACGAACGGCACGCACGAACACGAAACCGAAACCGAACACGGGGGCTCTCCGTTCCACTTCGATCTCACCCCCCAACCTCCGACAGTCGAAACGTGGCCACAGTGGCGTCGGGCAAGTCCCTTCGCGGAGGGACCAACGCCCGATTGACAGACCCCAAACGACTAACACTCAAAGATGGACAGCCCGAGCATCAAGAGTAGTCCTTCCAGCGCCAAGGCCTTCCAAAAACCCCCAAGCCTCACCCTCGAGCGCCCCTGCATCCCGGGAGCCACCTCGTTTCAGAGAAGCTGGTGCTGGGCCCTACGGTTAGGTCGGACATGTCCCCCAATAGGGGGATTTGGGATGAAAAATGAAAAATAACCCAAAAATACCCCAGAATTATCAAAACATATTCAAAAAAAACGTCCCAATACTTTTTTTACTATTTATGAACCTTCCTCCTGCAGAGGAACAGGCCCGACCTAACCCTACGGCCGCGAAGCACAGTCGGCCTCCACGCGCGCCCTGCTCCCCAGTGGCCCTGCGCGCCTCCCGCGCCCCGGCCGCAAGAAGCCCACTCGGCGCGCGCCCGCGGGGGCGCGCTGCCCAGCAGCAGACGCTGCCGAACACCGCCAGCAGCCGCGGCTGGGCGGGCGACCCAACGTGAGGCGGAGGAGGAGGAGGAGGAGGAGGAGGAGGAGGAGCAGGAGGCTCAGGTGAGCGCTGATCGAAAACGGGTCTCACGCGAGATGACGCAGCGACCTGACGCGGCGGCTCACGCGGGCCACCAGCGCGGCAAGTCGCAATGGAGACGAGGGCGCTCACGCGAGACCTCGCGCGAGCCGCGCACGCGCGAATGCCGGCGCAATCGAACCCGTTTTCTTGCGCCGTTCAAGTGGACAGCGCCTGCTGTGTGCGTGTGCGTGTGTGTATGTGTGTGCGATTGTGTGCGATTGTGTGCGTGTGTGTGCGTGTGTGCGTGTGCGTGTGTGCGCATGTGTGTGCGTGTGTGTGTGCGTGTGTGCGTGTGCGCGTGTGTGCGTGCGTGCGTGTGAATGTGTGAATGTGTGCGAATGTGTGCGGACCCCGCCCCTTCCGTACTTGGCTCGATCGTACCGGCCCACGCGGGCGTCCTTCTGGGCCGCCTGCAGGCCCGGGGCGAGGTCCCTGAGGAAGTCGGCGGGCTCCTGCGGCGCCCGGGGGCGTCGCGGGGGGAGGGGCAGAAGCAGCAGGGGGGCCATCCCTCCCCAAACATCCAGCGGTTTTTCTAACAGATCTATATATATATATATACACAGATGTATAGATATACAGAGAGAGATGAGAGAATGAGAGAGAGGGAGAAACAAAAAAAATTGCGTTCGGTATCTGAGTGCCGTTTTCGGCTCCAGGGCCGTCGAACAACGACTCGGGAATAGAAAGCGGCCCAGAGAAAATTGTCAAGAAGAGTGGGAGGCAGCATTGCACAAAAAACTGATGTATGGACCCTGCCACCTTGCAACCTGCACCCCCCTCGTCCTTCTCCACCATCTCTTCAGCTCGGTAGCAGGTAGCGCAGCAATGCGGCGGTGACAAGAAAAGACAGCGGCGGCAGAGAAGCAAAAGATAGAGACAGAGAGCCGGTCCACCTCCTCCTTCTCCTCCTCCTCCTCCTCCGCCTCCTCCGCCCTCCTCCGCCTCCTCCTCCTCACACACCGCTGGGCCTCCTTCCCCTCCTCATCCCCCTTCTCAGAGTCCTCCCCTCCTCCTCCTATTCCTCCTCGCCCAGCCTGACTCCTGGGCGGGGTGCAAAAAGAAGCAATACAAGGAGCAGCCTGCTCGTTGTCATTTTGGGGCCTCTAGGAGGCCTCTTGGGGGCCTCTTGGGTCATCTTGGGTCCTCTTGGGGGCCTCCCGGGGGCTTCTGGGGGCCTCCTGGGGGCCTCTTGGGGCCGAGGGCCCGAAAAGTCTGGTCGGCTCCCCTGTCTGGGCCCCTCCTTAGAGCTGCCTTGGGGCCCTCTTGGGCCCTCTTGGAAGTCATTTGGGCCGTCTTGGGGCCCTCTGAAGCCGTCTTGGGACCGTCTTGGGGGCCTCCTCGGCCGCCCTGGGGCGACCTTGGGGGCCTCTAGGGCCGTATTGCAGCGTCGGGAAGCCGAAAATGCGAGAGCCAAAATTACGCTACCGAGGAACCCCACATACTTAACTGAAATCTCGTGTGTTTGCTTAAGTTTATAATATATGCGCAATTCTGCGTTCTCAGCCCTCGTCGCGAATGTTCCCCTATGTGTCATCCAACGCCATATTGCTTGAACCTCCTCCCTCTTCCTAGCCTTCTATCCTCCGTCGAGGACAGATTCGAGCCAGCCAGCGGCCGCGGTGAGGGACCACCCCCTGCGCACCCTCGATGGTGTCGAGAAAGTGCCACGCCTGCTATGCCCTGGACGACCGTCGTGCGTAGCGGCCGCGGTGAGGGACCACCCCCTGCGCAGCCTCTATGGTGTCGAGAAAATGCCGCGCCTGCTATGCCCTGGACGACCGTCGTGCATAGCAGCCGCGCTGAGGGACCACCCCCTGCGCACCCTCTATGACGTCGAGAAAGTGCCACGCCTGCTATTCCCTGGACGACCGTCGTGCATAGCGGCCGCGCTGAGGGACCACCCTCTGCGCACCTCCTGTGGTGCCGAGAAAGTGCCACTCCTGACACGATCTGCGAGCGTGTCACGGATAGAGGCCGCGCTGAGGGACCACCCTCTGCGCACCCCCTGTGGTGTCGAGAAAGTGCCACTCCTGCCAAGATCTGCGAGCGTGTCACGGATAGAGGCCGCGCTGAGGGACCACCCTCTGCGCACCCCCTGTGGTGTCGAGCAAGTGCCACTCCTGCCACGATCTGCGAGCGTGTCACGGATAGAGGCCGCGCTGAGGGACCACCACCCTCTGCGCACCCCCTGTGGTGTCGAGAAAGTGCCACTCCTGCCACGATCTGCGAGCGTGTCACGGATAGAGGCCGCGCTGAGGGACACCACCCTCTGCGCACCCCCTGTGGCGTCGAGAAAGTGCCACGCCTGCCACGCCCTGCGAGCGTGTCACGGATAGAGGCCGCGCTGAGAGACCACCCTCTGCGCACCCCCATGTGGTGTCGAGAAAGTGCCACTCCTGACACGATCTGCGAGCGTGACAACCCTCTGCGCACCCCCATGTGGTGTCGAGAAAGTGCCGCGCCTGCCACGCCCTGCGAGCGTGTCACGGATAGAGGCCCCGCTGAGGGACCACCCTCTGCGCACCCCCATGTGGTGTCGAGAAAGTGCCGCGCCTGCCACGCCCTGCGAGCGTGTCACGGATAGAGGCCCCGCTGAGGGACCACCCTCTGCGCCCCCCCAGTGGTGTCGAGAAAGTGCCGCGCCTGCCACGCCCTGCGAGCGTGTCACGGATAGAGGCCGCACTGAGGGACCACCCTCTGCGCACCCCCATGTGATGTCGAGAATGTGCCGCGCCTGCCACGCCCTGCGAGCGTGTCACGGATAGAGGCCCCGCTGAGGGACCACCCTGTGCGCCCCCCCAGTGGTGTCGAGAAAGTGCCGCGCCTGCCACGCCCTGCGAGCGTGTCACGGATAGCGGCCGCGCTCACGAGGAAGTGCCACGCCTGCCACGCCCTGCGAGCGTGTCACGGATAGAGGCCCCGCTGAGGGACCACCCTTTGCGCCCCCCCAGCGGTGTCGAGAAAGTGCCGCGCCTGCCACGCCCTGCGAGCGTGTCACGGATAGAGGCCCCGCTGAGGGACCACCCTCTGCGCACCCCCTATGGTGTCGAGGAAGTGCCACGCCTGCTCGCCTGCCGCATGGCTTGCCGTGTGTATGTGTATGATGCGTGTGCGGCCATATCGGGACATATCTCACGTGTTGCCCAGTATGTCGTGCAGACGTCTTGGGTGTATGATGCAGTGAACATGCGTCTTGTATGTGCGAATGTGTGCATGCGCGCGGCTGTGTGCGAGTGTGTGGGTGAGGAGGCGGGAGGTGTGTGAGACGCGGGTGCGGCGCGGCAGGGAAGAAAACCAGAACCCCACGACGAAGCATGTGGGGAAAAACCTTCCAAGCAATTGGAAAAAACACTGTTTGTCTCTGTCTGTCCTATTGGGAAGCCTCCTGGAGGCCTCTTGGGACGTCTTGAGCGGCTCTTGGGTCGTCTCGGGACTATTTAGGGCGTCTTGGAGCGATTGTTGGCCATCTCGGGGCCCTCTTGGACCATCTTGGGGGCATCCTGAGGCCGTCTTGGAGGGCTCTCGGGCGTCCTGAAGCCCCTTGGAGGCGCCAGGGAGGGGGTATGAAAAAAGGGGGGCCGATGTCACGAAGGTGGGCGGGGCTCTTTTCGGAGGGGGGGCGGTATATGTTGATATATCTATATATACATATATATATACATACATACATACATATATACACATGTACAAGTATGTATCAGCATGTATACATGTGTTTGTTGTTACGTATGTGTGTATGTATGCACGTAAGGCAATCGTACCTAATGCATACACAACGTATATCATGTATACACGTATGTAGCTGTAACCGTTCACACAGAAATCAAGAAGACAATACCCTTTTCGCCGACCGCCCAAGTCCCCACGAGCATACTTAGAACGAAGAACGTTTCAAGGCGGCGAGTGCCCGCACGAAAAGCACGAGGGCAGTTTCTCCAAAAATAGGAAGGCTCCTCTCGACCCTCGTGGCAGCGGCACGCACTCGAGCCCCCGCCCCCTTCCCCCTCCTCCCCCATCCTCCTCCGCCGGCTGGCGCCGGCGGCCGGCGCCTTCGTGACCCTGCCAGTCTCGTCCTCGAGCACGTCCTGCGGCGCCGCGGGGCGCCCTCGGCGCGTGCGCGGGCGCGCCGGCGTCCGACCGGTGCGCGGCCCGGGGGCCCGGACTTCTGAAGGACCTAGCTCAAGCGGCGAGCCCCAGAGGGGGAAGTGAGAGGGGGCAGGCCTTCTCAGAAGGCCTGCCCCCTCCTACTCCCCCCTTGCTCCCCCCTTACTCCCCCCTGACTCCCCCCTTACTGCCCCCTCTTACTCCCCCCTTACTCCCCCCTTACTCCCCCCTTACTGCCCCTCTTACCCCCCCCTTACTCCCCCCTGGGCTCGCCGCCGATCGTTCCTCAGTCCCGGCGTGCTTCCCCGACGTTGGCCTCCTGGGGCCCGCTCGTGCTCCCCGTGGTCTTCGAAGCCGCACTCCGGGCAAATAGCTGCCCCGGGGGAAGGGGGTCTTGTGCACCAAATCCCAAAGTTCGTTGAAGAAGGTTTACCACTATGTGGGGCGCGTGCTGGAAATACTGCGGCTCCACCGCCGGTAACCCGCAGCTTCAGCGACGCCGGTCTAGAAGTCACTTGGCGGAATGTAATAATGGACCTCCGAGCCCGCGACACAACTATGAAGCCGACGCCTGCTCGATCCTCGTTTTCGTGGGCTCTGCTCTCAGCCCCCCCCGACAGCACGACAAAATAACCCGGTGTCTGATAAGGTTTGCCATGTCTCTTGAATGCATGATACACTGATGCATTCTCGATCCATGATACGTTCGAGCTCCACTTGCTTTGCAATGGTGCACCCCTCGATGTTCCACGAAACAATCGCGAATTCAGCACTGGAAGGGCGCAAGCGGCCGCCCTGGGCTGCAACAAGATGCGTCTTGGCTAGACCACTCGGCCCAAAGTATACTGCCGTATTGTGGGGAGCCAGTTGGAGCGCCTGGCAAAAGGACAGGGCTCCAGAGCTCTGGTGTGAAACGTCTCTGCTGCCGCCCCGCTGGCACCCCTATTTGCTGTGCTGTCCGCTGCCTTTCCCTATAGATTCTCCCCCTATCTTCTCCACACCCCTGGCGGCAAGATTAGCGAGCTTGCCAGGAAGTCTGGGAGAGCTGCGTCTGTTAACCAAGAGAGCCAACCATGACCGTAAGCCAACTTGAATTTGCCTCCGTTGATCGTCGCGTGAGCCACCAGATCCGTCCCTAGCAATACTTTGCCATCATCAGGGTCCGTCCAGATCGCCTACCCCATTGCTTTAACAAATACTTCAAGCCGAATGCGAATGAAGTGATCACCCGCTTGGGGAGGGGCTGGTCCGCTTTCGCCCAAATGTTGTTTCCCCCTTGCTGGAAAGACACTTTGCGGAATAGGCCCACCACCGTATCCTGGTCAGCTCCGTTGGGAAATTTAGTGAAAACCACTCCAGGAAACTCCCCTTAAACGTACACCTCGTCGGGCTGCGGCCCATACAAATCCCAAAGCTCATTCCCCAACCACTCCTTCACCTCCTCCAGGCCCCCGATTGACTGCAATCCTCCTATCACGACTGTCTTCTTCAACCAACTTTCAGACTTGGAGAACAAGACGTCGGCGCATGGACCGAGTATGATTTCTGGAGATGTGAACGCGAGGCTGTACGAGCAGTTCGGCGGCGAGTCGCGCCTGGTAGGACCGCATGTGTTTGCGTCCCCTGGCGTGGAGTGTAAGCTGGACGCTAACCAGCGTCTGCTGGTGGAGGCGTGCACCCAGCTCAACATGTGTTTGGCCAACACCTTCTACGAGCTACCTTTGGATAACCTTGCCACATGTTACCATGTGCGCCACCGAGCCAGAGAGATCATATCTTCACACACCCACGCGCAGATCGATTTCTTCGCGTGTGAACAGAACTGGCTGCACAAGGTCAAAGCCGTGAGGTCACTCACACAGGCGCCGTTGTCGTCTCACCATTTTCTGCTGCATGCCGTTCTCGAGATGGAAGTGGTGAAGGGCCCAGTCGATCAGACTCCCCGGCGGGACATGCGATCACTCTGGAGCCTGGAGCCAAGCTCTCTTTTGGACATTGTTCCAGCAACGCGATGGAGGAGTTCGAGGACACGGCGCCGGATGAGGGGGACGTGAACATCGCGTGGTCTCATCTTGTGGATGGCTTCCGACGGGCAGAGGAATCCACAGTGCCTACGGAGCGCCATCGACAACGACGGCCACGGACGAGCAGCTGCACTCTCAGTTCGACATCGAGGAGAAAAGGAGGCACGACGTCGAGGGGACGCGCTGGAGGACAGACAAATGCAGAGCACGTCCGAGCATCAAACGCCCGTGACCGTGCTCAATGGGCTTCGAGATGTTACCAAAGAAGGTTATTGGGCGCAGATCCGGAAGCTGTGGAAAATAAAGGGGCCCAATGACACACAAATAAATAATCCCCCATATTTTCCCATATTTTCTGGGTTTCTGTCTTCCCGCCCACTTCCCATATTTTCCCATATTTTCTGGGAAATCGAGGATTAATTGTGTCTGTGTGTTTCTTTTCCTCCTGAGAAAAGGCGAACGCGGCAACCAGGCAGACTACGGGACAGCAGAGGCGAGCTTGTAGACAGCGGCAGGCGCGCAGACACTCCAGCCGAGCATCTGGGACGCATCCAAAATGGGCGGTGCATCGAACCACGGTCCTCCCGAACGGCGAGAGCATCCACCCGCAACTACCCGTGAGGCTCGGCGCCATCATGGAGTCAAAGTCCGGGAGGCCGCACAGAAGCTGAAGGATGGTCGTGCGGCTGGACTCGGTCAAGTGCCGCCGGGGTTCTGGAGGCCGTGACCGAAGATGGGAAGACCGCCATTCCTTGGGTTACCAGATTTTGCAATGTAGTATGGTCACAGACCTGCGTGCCAGAGACCTGCGGAAGTCCAAGGTTCGCATGATTTACAAGAAGGGCGACCATCGGCCTGCGACAATTACAGGCCCATCAGCCTCCTTCCAATAAGATACAAAGTGCTCTCCATGGTATTGATGGAAATGTTACAGGAAGCAGCGGCCGAAGATCGCACTTGGCGCGCCCAATTTGGCTTCAGATCTGGCCGAGGAACCAGCGATGTGATATTCGTAGCCAGACGGATCCTCGAGGACGCTTGGGTGACGAAGCAAGGGTCGTCATTGCTACTCGCTCTGGACTGGGCTAAGGCTTTCGACTCAGTATCGCCCAGCGCCTTGGCAGCTTCACTGCGCAGATTCGGGTGTCCATCTAAATATGTCAACATGGCCGAAACGATTTTATCATGGTCGGACTGTCCTCGCTTCAGCTTCAAGCATCTTGTCGGAGGAGTGGAAGCAGCAATTTGGGATATGTCAGGGATGTCCACTATCACTGTTTCTCTTCACAATCGTAATGACGACCTTGCTGACAGACGCGTATTCCCTGTTCCTGGTGCGCATGCCAAAATCTGACGTCGTGCATAGAGGAATGCGGGCGACATTATGGACTGAGCCTGAATTGGCGCAAGGTTGAAGTGATGCGCGTTCGTACTGGAGCCCATCTTGTCAATGGCGCAGGTGAGGCGGTGGAAAAAAAAAACATCAACCTAGTATATTTAGGTGCGTTGATGTCCGCAGATGGCCCGAGCGGCGCAGAGCTCAATCGTAGACTCGGCGCGGCCAAGCAATATTTCGACGTGCTGAGCGAAATCTGGTCGCATTCGACATTGAGTCGCTGCCAGAAGATGCGCATGCTTGACGCATGCGTAGTCTCGAAACTAACCCATTCTTGTTTGCAACATGTCTGAATCAAGCGGAACGCCCGAGAGTAGACGGATTTCAAGCCCAGCGTTCGAGGAAGATGTTCCGCGTGCCACACTCGTATTACAGCAGGATTTCGAATAGCACTGTGTTGAGCATAGCGGAGCAGCGGCCTTTGAACGAACAATTCTTTAAACAGCAGATGGTCTTAATAGGCAGGCTTGCGAGACGTCTCAGCATAGACCCTGTGCGCATGTCTGTGTTTGAACCTGGCAGCATTGACATACGAACGCCATCAGAACCTCGGAAGAGAGGCCGGCCCCGACAGAAAAGGGGCAACATGGTGATGAACAAGCATGTGCGTGTGGCCGGCTCCGCCGCTCGCCTGGCTGATTACTTCCGCCTGGAGGGCGGTGCATCGCGAGATTGGGCGTCGGCCGTGCGATCGTGACACATGTACAGTGGGGGCCGATACACATGAAACCTTCCACAAGAAACCCAACCCTGAGACTACAGGACGTCCAGTCATTTCTGCTGTGAGCAAGCCGCGCTCTCCATGGAAGAACCACCGAAGCCCAAGAAACCCAGAGCACCCTGGAGGCAGGCAGGGTGCTTCTTGGCAGGGCCCCCCACTGTCAGTGCACCTTTTCCACCTCTGCTGGCGCACCGTCCAGTGCAGGGCTCGTGACGGACGGCCAGGGGGAGGGGTCGGGAGTTCTGGGACCGCGGATTGGCACCAACAACACAACGCAGTGGAGGCCAGTCCACAGGAGACCTTCCACAAGAAACCCCACCCTGAGACCCCAGGACGTCCACGGATCTCTGGTGTGGGAACGTCACGCTCTCCACGGCGAAACCATCGACGCGAAAGAGACCAAAGGCATCCTGGAGGCAAGCAGGGTGCTTCTTGACAAGGGTCCCCAGAGGGCTTTCCTTTCCGCGACTGCGACACTGCATGACGCAACGGCTGCGGGGTTGTAGACCCACGCTGGGGAATTCGGAGGCAGCGCGCTCACGGTCTCAGGACCGCACGTCAAGTGGCCGCACACCAATCGAAATAGCCAGACAACACGTCATGTGTTCTGCCGCTTGTCGCTAGAAACAAGTCGGAGAGGACAATCAAATCATCTCAAGACGACGACGACGACGACGACGACGACGACGACGACGACGACGACGACGACGACAGCGACGACGACGACGACGACGACGACGACTGCAACGTCGACGACGACGCCCGCGGGCAGGCCTAAAACCCGATTTCCCTATCATAGCCCAGGGCGCTGCCGCGTGACGGCCCCCCGAGCATTTCTGAATCGACACACTTTACATTTAGCGCCAGTGGGCATCGATCCAAGAAGTCGCGGGGATATCCGAAAATGTATGGCTGCGCAGATGCGGCTTTTGGTAAGTTCGGATCGGTTGCAAACATCGGCGCATGGTAGCGAGGAAGAGGAGGAGAAGGAGGAAGAGGAGGAGGAGGGCGGAGTGAAAACGGCCTAAGACCGAAACCGACGGACCTGGACCCGCAAGAATGACGACCGCGACGCCCTCTCGCGAACCGAAAACGGCCAATTCGCTAATCGACGTGTCAGGACAGGACTCTATCAACCTGCGATCGGCATTCGGGTAATAACTCGTGTCTCTGACGGCAACATCGGGGCGATCTGGGCAACCCTGGAACGCTCTCGGCGAGACGCAGCCGCTGGACAGCATCCCGAGGCTGCAAAACCGCCTGGAAACGCCGACGCAAGAGCCCGATTACATCGAATTTTCGAGCCCCCCCCTGAGTAGGGAAACGAACTCTATACACCGACGCGTTTCCCGACCCTGCGCTGAAATTCGCACAGGAACGCGAATTCTGGTGTATACGGGATCCTGGTGTATACATGTTTCGTCGTTCCCCTTGGAAAACGGGGGAAAAGTATACACCACACCTCCCCGACGTCGTCCCTGACCCTTCAAAAGTAGTGGGGTTGAACAACAGCCCGCCACTGGTAATGTATATTGACGGGGCAACGATAAAGGGGGGATAGGCATCGGGGGGATGCATCGACCTGGAATCGGCGACACATCGTCGACAGATCGGCGATAGGCCCCCGATAGTGAATCCGCACCTTCCTGGGCGCGGCGGCGCCATCGGGCCCGCATCGGCGATTCATGAAATGACTACCTACCAGACCACCCCAACCCAACCCGAAGACCCGAATTTCGGGTTGGGGGGGGTACGGGCTCCATATGTGTTTTTGTCGATGTTCCCGGACCCCCCCCACTAGAAATCGAGGGTAAATTTGACCCTTCGGGTTGGGTTGGGGTGGTTTGGTGGGTGGTGAGAAAGTCCCCCCCCCCCGCTCGAGCCAGCAGGCCGACAGGCCAGCCTCTCGGGCAGGGCAGGCCCGCCGCACGCCAAAGGAGCAGGGCGAGGCACGGGAGCGGCACGGGAAGGCCCAGCTGAAGAGGCCCACGGGAGCGGAGGGAGGGAGGGAGGGAGGGAGGGAGAAAGGGAGGAGGATCGGGGATGGACAGACCCCCCTTTAGTAAAACGTGGTTTAGTGAAAACGACCTGAGGCCCAAACCTAGCGGGCGCAAGCCTGGAAAATGACGGCCACGGCGCCCTCTCGAGAACCGAAAACGGACCATTCACTAATCGACGTGTCACTGTTGGGGGTTCTGTCCGCCCCCGAGAGGAGGAGGAGACGTCCTCCTCCGCCTCCGGCCCCCCGAGCAGCAGAGCGCGCGCGGGCCCGAGCCTCGAGCGGCGCCCTCCGCGCCCCTGCTGGAGGCGTTTCTCCCGGGACCCCTCTCCAGGGGCGGGGCCCTGACTGGGAGCCTCCTCCTCCTCCTCCTCCTGCTGCTCCTCCCCCTCCTCCTCCTCCTCCTCCTCCTCCTCCTCCTCCTCCTCCTCCTCCTCCTCCTCCTGCTGCTCCTCCCCCTCCTCCTCTTCCTCCTACCCATCTTCCCCCTCATCATCATCATCATCATCATCATCATCATCATCATCATCATCATCATCATCATCATCATCATCATCATCATCATCATCATCATCATCATCATCATCATCATCATCATCATCATCATCATCATCATCATCATCATCATCATCATCATCATCATCATCATCATCATCATCATCATCATCATCATCATCATCATCATCATCATCATCATCATCCATCATCATCATCATCATCATCATCATCATCATCATCATCATCATCATCATCATCATCATCATCATCATCATCATCATCATCATCATCATCATCATCATCATCATCATCATCATCATCATCATCATCATCATCCTTGTCCTCTTGTCCTACTCATGCTCCTTCTCACCTCCTCCACCTCCTCCTTCTCCTCCTCCTCCTCCTTTCGCCTCCTCACCTTGGGAGCCTTAGGTCGGGCGTGTCCTCCTGATGGCGGATTTCGGACGAAAGCCTAGAAATACCTCAAAAAATGCTCCAAACATGTTCGCACACACTGCAAGAATCGTCCCCGGACGACTGTTTTACTATCTTTGAACGTTCCCCCTGTAGAGGGACAGGCCCGACTTGATGGAAGACCCCGAAGCGAGTTCAGCCACGGCGACGAGGGCATCACCAGTGAGGCACAGAGAAGGCGCAGACGAGGGGGAGAGCATCTGCATCGGCATCGGTACGCTTCTCGCCTCTGAGCGGCGGCGGCGGCGGCGAGGACGGGTCCGGGCGCCGCCGAGGGAGGGGCCCAGTCCTTGGCGAATGTCTCCATGGCCGTATTGATGTGCTGTACGCCGTCGAAGAACTTTGGGGGATCTGCCCGGGGCGCACGGCGCGAGGAGGAGGACCAGCGCAAACCCAAGGGTCATCACCGATGTTGGAGTAAACCCTCCCTCCAAGCTCCCTCTTCATAGGCCCGTACAACGGTTCATTCCCACTGAGGGAACTGCATCGTTGGAAGGCAACCGTTTGAAGACCCTGAAGCATGCCAAAACATTTTTCTCACGATTCCAACGCAATGGATCAACCTGACTGCTGCGTTTTGACGATCCTGAATCGTGCCAGAACGCCATTCCTGAGACTTCAACACTACGAATCAACGTAACTGTTGCACCGTCATAATCCAGAGTCCTTCCAAAACACCATTTCTGGTACGCTGATCACGAGAATCCGTGAAACTCTTGCAAATGCACTTGAAGGAAGACATTCTGGAGGAAAACGCAGGAAAAAGTGCTATACGAGAGCTTATCCCGGCTTGCGTACACCGTCATAGAGGTAAGGGCGCTCTTCCCAATACTCTACGGCGGTTACGAGACCGAGGAGGGCGCGAAGAAGGACATGGACGACATGGAGGGCGACGAATACGACCAGAACCACAACTACAACCATGGTCTGGTGGGATGCCTCTCGTGGCCTTCTTGGCAACGTCTTGGGAGATGTTTCGGGGGCTCTTGGTGCCTCCTGGGAGCCTCCCGGGAGTGTCTGAAGGCATCTGGGAGGCGCCTTGAGGGCCTTTGGAAGAAACGTGGGGCCATCTGAGGGCAGAGCCCTCGAAAGGCTTGGGGTGGTCCCCTCGTGTGGCTCCCTCCTGGCGCGCCCGCTCAAGTTCTAGCTATGCTGGACAGTTTCACTCGTGGGATCTCGATTTCTGGCCGCATTTTTCCCTAGAGAACACGAAGACGGCCCAGAGAAAATTCCAAGACAACGTCAGAGCGTTCAACAGCTTTCCCGACAAGTCTTCAAATTGTGACCCCGAACCCTTGATTGGGGCTCGGGGTGAAATTCCTCCCCCAAAAAAAAGAATCGCTGGGATCCCCTTTTTTCAAATCGTGCTTCCTACCGTGTGGTGCACAGGAATCGGGGGGGGCCCAAGAGGTCTGCAGGGGGTCCTGGGAGGTAGTTTTGAGGCCTCTCTGGGCTAGATTTAGGTCGGGCGTGCCCCTCTACAGGTGGATTTTGGACAAAAAATGCAAATAGTCAAAACATGCCCCCAAAATAGTCAAACATGTGAGAAAAATGGTCCCCTGGCAATTCCTTTACTATCTTTTAAGTATTCCCCCTGTAGAGGGACAGGCCCGACTTCAGGCTAGACGCAGCGTGGACTGCGTGCAGAGCAACCGCACTGCCGCCGTGGGCTGCAACCTTGCTGCCCGTGGTCCGAGCTGGCGGGCGCGAAGCCGACTGGCGGCCCGCCAGCCGTCGTCACGGGGTTGAGTCCAGCCGAGGTGGAGGAGGAGGAGGAGGAGGAGCAGGAGGAGGAGCATGAGAAGGAGGAGGAGGAGGAGGAGGAGCAGGAGCAGGAGGAGGAGGAGGAGGAGGAGGAGGAGGAGGAGGAGGCGGCGCAGGCTTGGTGCAGGGCCCGGGGCCGCCAGATAGAGTTCGTAATTCGGGCAACTTCGGGCAACCTGCGTGCAGGCTCCGTGCCCCCCGCCCCCGCACGCCCCCCCGGCCCCTCCCTGCACCCCGCCTTCCTCGGCCGCTGTGCTTCTCCGCCGGGTCAGCTTCGGCTGGAGCCGGAAGCATCCTCATGGCCTCCTGGGCGACCCCGGTGCGCCTTCGCCCGTGGAGGGGCGCGGCTCACAGCCCTCGGGGCCGCACTCCAGGGGCTCTCGCCCGCAGGGCTCCTTGGGGGAGCGCTGGGGGCCTCCCGGGGTCCTCTCGCGTGGGTCGTCCCCGGGGCTCCCAACTTCGCGCTTCGCGCTCCGCGAAGCGCGAAGCGCGAAGCGCGAATAACTTCGGGCTCTCGCGCCGCCCCCCCAAAGGGAGAAAAGGAGGACGAGGAGGAGGGGGAGAAGGAACGAGGACCGCGAAGCGCGAAGCGCGAATAACTTCGCGCCCTCGTGGGAGCCCTTGCGTCCGTGCTTCCTGGGGCTTCTTGGCGGGCAGTTTTGGGGCACGGTCTCGCCTCGTAGGTACCTTCTCGGGAGGAGGGCCCGGCAGCCTTCTCGGAGGCATCATGGAAGCAACTTGAAGCCTCCTGGGCCTCTTCGGGGCCTATTTGGGCTCTCTTGTGGGCCTCCCGGGGGCCTCTCGGCGCATCTCGGGGGCGTATCGGAGGCCTATCGGGGGCCTGTTGGCGGCCTCGGAAGGTGGGGCGGAGGACCCGAAATGTCAGCTCGGATTCCTTCTTTTGGGCCGCTCTTGGAGCTCTCTGGGGGCCCTCTTGGGCCGTCTCCGGTGCGTCCTGGGCCATGCTGGGGCCCTTTTGAGACGTCTTGGGGCTCTCTTGGGGGCCTCCTGGGCCGTCTTGGGGCGATGTTTGGGGCTGGTCGTCTTGGACGGCCCTCGAGCCTAAAAAGCGAGGAGGCCAAGAATATACGCGTTGCTTCTTGGAAGTCCTCTTGGAGCGCTCGTGCGACGTCTTGGGATCCTCTTGAACCGCTGTCTGGCGGCGAGCGAGGGGGGGAAGTGAAGAGGAGGAAGCCTCCTCAGAAGGCCAGGGGACTTCCGAGCCTTCTGAGAGGGCCTTACCCTTCTCGCTTCCCCCCCTCGCTCGCCGCCGTGTTTGGGCCGCCTCGTGAGCCGTCTGAGATTAAATCGGGCCTGTCCCCCTACAGGGGGATTTTCGACGAAAAATAAAGAATGCCCAAAAAATAATCAAACAATAATCCAAAAATAGTCTTTTGGTGCACTCTTGGGGCATTTGTGATTTTTCGTCGAAAATCCCCCTGTAAAGGGGGACACGCCCGACATAAGGCTGAGAGCCCTCGAGACCGTGTTCGGAGCGGTGCGGGGCTCTCTTCGGTCGCCTCGACGGCGGTCGGAGGGCTCCGGGGGCCGCCCCCGAGGCCCCCAGAGAGCGGGCCGAGCCCCCGGGCCCGGCCGTGTGCGGTCGTGGTCCTGGCCCAAGGGCCGCAAGGCCCAATCCCTCGTTGCGTACGTGTGTGTGTACACAGATATAGAATGCAGATGTGTGTATATGCATGTCAGGGCAGTTGTTAAGACATAGGATGTTTAACAGGCGTGCTGTTTTAATACATGATCCATGTATGAATAAATGTGTGAATGAACTCATCGTTGTTTTAAATACTAAGCCCCTGCATGTTTAATGCATGATCCGCACGCGGAGCATGTATGCACACGGATCTCTACATAGTTACACATATACATACATGTTCAAAGTTGCACATGTACGTGTGCAGATGTGCACCATCATTTGTACGTATAGAAAGAGAAGGAGAGAAACAAAAAACAAAAAAAGATGACGCGCCCGACCCGACCCGCCCGCCCGCTAAAGTCCGCCTGCCCGACCCTTCAGGGTCAACCCACCCGACACACCCGTTAGATCGTCGGTGATGTCGTCGCACTCGTCGTGGTAATTGTCGAAGTCACCCTCCTTGAAGTCATCGTCGCCGTCTCCACCGTCGTCAATTTCGTCGCCGTCGTCGTCGTCGGCGTCGGCGTCGTCGTCGTCGTCGGTGTCGTCGGCGTCGTCGGTGTCGTCGGTGTCGTCGTCGTCGTCGCCGTCGTCGTCGTCGCCGTCGTCATCGTCGTCGTCGGCGTCGTCGTCGGCGTCGGCCTCGTCGCCGTCAATGTCGTGGTCGTCGGCCTCGTCGTCATCGTCGCGTTCGTCACCATCGTCATCGTCGTTCCCGCCGCCCTCGTCGACGCCTTCCTGGATGTCCTGGCGGACAGACTGCACGGAACTGGACCCGACCGGCCCCCCCGCCCGACCCGCCCGTTCAGGCCCACCTGCCCGCCTGACCCGCCCGGTAGGTTCCGCCCACCTAGCTACTGCCAGGCGGAATGCTGCGTTGGTGCGGTAATGGCCCGCGAATGCGTCCATGTCGGTGCCGTATCGGAATACGGTCAGTCGTGTTGGGGGCTTGGGCGAAAGTAGGGAAGGGTCGGCGTGCATGGCGCCCTTAAGTTTGAGGTATTTGGTCTTTGCCGTGGGTGGTGGTTGAAAGTGGTTTTGCCCTTGAGTCGGTTCGTAGTGGGGGTTGTGGTAGGTATCGGTTCACGTCTTGGTGTGCGAAGAACTCCTTACTGAACTTGTCTAGGTATCTGCTCCATCCAGGTCGAAATAGATCGTCGTTGGGGAATTCGTACGTGTAAGTGTTGGTTCGTTCGTGATATCGTACGGCGCGTAGCGCCATCGGTCGTCGTCGTAGCCATCAGTGTCCGTGTCGCTGGCGCGGTGGTAGTAAGCTGTCCATCCGCTCGGGCCGTGCATGTCGTGGTATTCGTTCGGCTGCAATGAGGTGAGGTAGAACTAATGTGTCTGCCGCTTCGCTCATGTTAGCCCATGGGTCGTCGTTGTCTATGCTGGCGTCGGAGTATGTTGTGTCGTATCGTATATCAAGTCGGATATGCTTGCCCGTGGATTGTGGTAAGACTTGAGGTGGGGTTGTTGTTGTGGTGCTGACTGTGTAGGTGACGTTGGTGTTTGTGCTGGTGGGGGTGGAATGTACTCGTAGCTGCGTCGGGTCTTGCTTTGTCTCCCCTCCTCCTCCTCCTCCTCCCTCCTCCTGCTCCTCCTCCTCCTCCTCCTCCTCCTCCTCCTCTCCTCCTCCTCCTCCTCCTCCTCCTCCTCCTCCTCCTCCTCCTCCTCCTCCTCCTCCTCCTCCCTCCCTCCCTCCTCCTCCTCATCCTCCTCTCCTCCTCCTCCTCCTCCTCCGCCTCCGCCTCCGCTCCCTCCTCCTCCTCCTCCTCATCCTCCTCCTCCTCCTCCGCCTCCGCCTCCTCCTCCCCCTCCTCCTCCTCCTCCTCGTCCTCCTCCTCCTCCTCCTCCTGCTCCTCCTCGTCCTCCTCCTCCTCCCCCCCTCCTGGGCCCTCGGCGCGCGCGCCTTCTCTCAGAGCCTGCTCAGCCGCCTTGAGCAGCTCCTCGATGAGGGCGAGGCGTGCGGCGCGAGATGGGGACAACGGCATCGAATCGGTCGGCATCGGTCGGCATCGAATCGGCGAGAGTGGGGAGATTCGGTCGGCATCGAATCGGGAGATCGGATCCGATGGGGGAGGGCATCGATGAAGGGGCCCTGGGACACACAAATAAATACACACAAATAACAGGATTCCCCATATTGTTCCCATATCTTCTGGGTTTTTGGCTTCCCCCCCACTTCCCATATTTTCCCATATTTTCCTGGAGATCGACGATTAATTGTGTCTGTATGTGTTTCCCTCTCCTGAATCGAGGAGGGCAAGATCGGTCAGCGTCGAGACTGGAAATCGGACCGGGTCGGAGCGCTCATCGGATCGGGCTGTCGCCACGGGCTCGCAGTCGAATCGAATCGGCCGCGCCAGGATGCACAACAACGCCATGCAGGCATCGGGCAACATCGGATCTGACGAACCAACAACACACACCCATACCCATAGGGGGATCGGAGAGGGCTATGGGTGCGTGTTGTCGGATGAGGGTCCCCGCTCGAACGGGAGCGTTCCCCAGGGTCCGACAACCCGCACCCATACCCATAGCCAGTCCTCCTCCCAACGACCTCCCTATGGGTATGGGTGCGTGTTGTCCGTTCGTCAGGATCGTGGCGCCGGTATGGGTATGGGAGCTGGAAAAAAGGAAAGCGGGACGAGAGAGGAGACCGCAGGAGGGAGGAGGAAGGCACAGGAGGGTGGACGAGGAGGGTGGACGACGAGGAGGAGGAGGAGGAGGAGGAGGAGGAGGAGGAGGAGGAGGATGCATCGGGCAACATCGGATCGTCGGAATATCGGAATCGAGCCGAATCGGGCTGGCCGTCACCGACCTCGGATCGACATCGACCGGATCGGCATGGACCCTGGGGTGGCCCGCCGGGGGGGGGGGGCAAGAGCCGGGGCCAGCCAGAGGAGGAGGAGGAGGAGGAGGAGGAGGAGGAGGAGGAGGAGGAGGAGGAGGAGAGGGAAGGGAGGAGAAGGAGGAAAGGAGGGGGGCGGAGGAGACTCGGACGACTCTGGATGAAAAACAGGCCCGAGAGAAGTTGTCCAGGCCTCCGGGGGACCCACGCACTGGAAAGAATCGGAGCACCGGATGTCCAGGGAGGGGTCAGGGCATCCTGGCCCGAGGCGTGCGCGCGGGCGAGGGCGGGCCAGGGGACCTGCCGAAAGGAGGAGGGGGGTCACGCAGTCGGGGCGACCCCACGACCCCGCCTGTTTGTCTCCTCGTCGTCGTCGCTTCCCTCTTCCTCCTCGTCGGTCGGTCGGTCGGCCAGAGGTTCGAAGCCGAAATGCAAAGAGGGAGGGCGAGAAGACCCCTGGGCCGGGTGAAGGACAAAGCAGAGGCAGCAGCAGGCCCGAAAATGAACAAGCTGAAGCCGCGCCCTGGGCGCAGCCACCCAACAGGTGTGGGAATGCCTGAGGCCACTACCGTTAAATTGGGTGCACACCGTGAGACACATTTGGGACGCGAAGGGGCAGTGGCTGAGAAAAGCCTTCGCCCCAGGCGGATGCAGGCGCTGTCGCAGGCAACAAGTTGGAGCAGCAGCTCCAGCACCTCTGAGTTACTACCTTTGAAGCCGTGTGCGCACACGGGAGGCGGCGAGTGGCCCCGTCCTAACACTCACGCAGAGGCCATGCCCTGAGCACCAACTCCCGAATGAGCAGCAGCCCGCGGAAGGGCAGGGGGGAAGAAGGACGGCTCGGTCCTTCCGCACACAACGCGCAGCAGGCGTTGTGAATCCTGGCTGGTAGGTAGCATGCAGTCCATGGAGGAAGTAGTCATAATGTAAGGGCCCCTGGGAACATATCGGGGGCGCGCAAACATGGACTAGCGATCCTTGGATTTGGCGCGCGGTCGCCAAATCCATGGATCGGGGGAGGTGCCCTACCCAAAATGCGGCCGGTGCCGCCTCGTTCCGCGGCTGAAGTTTCCGATTTCCCAAGGAAACAGGACCCGTCGCTAGCCCACGCCCCCTTAATCCATGCTTGCGATCGCCTGAACATAGTGCCGACTCAGGCCCATCGGTAAATCTCAATCAAGGGCTCCCCACTTCGCGCCTCGCGCTGCGCGAAGCGCGAAGTGCGAATGCCTTCGCGCTCCCACGCCGCCTCCCAGGGGAGAAGAAGAGGATGAGGAGGAATCGGAGCCGAACCGCGAAGCGCGAAGCGCGAATGACTTCGCGCCCTCGAGGGCGCCCTTGTCAATCGTCCCCCGGTCCAGGGAGACCCGCGGGCAGGCCCGGCGAGCGCGAGACCCACGGGGAGGGGCGAGGGGCGCGCCGTGGAGATGGAGGGGAAACCGACGGGCTCGAGTCGATGCTCTGGGACCTCGCGCAGGGGAAGGAGGAGCTTCGGGTCGGGCGAAAGGGGGGGATAGCAAAGGGGGGGTTTGAGAATCAGCTCACGTAGCTGATTTTCCCGGCGCCTCCCGGCGCTGGGAGGCGCCCATGTATCGAGGAATGGGCCCCTCGGTGAGGCCGAAACCAGCTGCATGCAGCAAATTTCGTAACCCCCCCTTTCCCAATCCCCCCCTTTCGCCCGACCCGAGAGCTGGAGCGGGCGTCCTGGGGCATGGCGGGAGCCAGGAGGGCGCACAAGCCCGGCGGGCGAACATCTTGGCCGCAGCTGTGCCCCAGGTGTTGTCAGCCCCGGGGCCGCTGAGAGCGGGGTGAGGGGCAGCGGGGTTGCCGAGGCGTCCCCCAGGCACAGCTTGTAGGAGCTGGCCCATAGCAGGAAGGTGGACGCACAACAACACGGTGGGCTTCACTCGGGGATGGACAGGACCCCCTTTCGTAAAACGTGGTCTAGTGAAAATGACCTCGGGCCAAAACATGGCGGGCGCAAGCCTGGAAAACGACGGCCGCGGCGCCCTCTCGAGGACCGAAAACGGACATTTCACTAATCGACGTGTCAGGGTGGGGGTTCTGTCCACCCCCGACTCGTATGGGATCAAAAGGGCCGTGCGAAGCAGTCCGTTGCCCAGCTCAACTTGTGACTTTCCCTGTTCGAGAGATGTCCCTGCCCCCAGAGACTCGCGGCTGACCGCAACGGGCGAGGGTGCTTGGCCACGCCAGGAGCAGGCCTGTGTCTAGCAACGGACCATGTTTCGCATGGCGGGCCCGCTACCACCCCAGCCATCCTCCCAGACCCAGGGAGCTCAAGCCAGAGGTGAACAGATTGGACCCGAGTGAGGTTCCCAAGCGCAGGATGGTTGACAACATCTAGGCTGAGCACATGCAGCCACGTGTGAAACCAGGCCTGGAGGGCCTCAACATAGTCGGGAACGTCGTTGGCACGCTATGGCCCGAGAACAAATGAAGGAGAAACATGGTACGTAGGGCGAACAAGGACCCTGAAGGGGTTCTAAACCACAGGCTGGGGTGGTATTGCCGGCAGTATTGCAGGCAAGAATTGCAGGCAAGAGTTGCAGGCAGTATTGCAGAATGAATTGAGTTCCTTCCTCGGGACCAAACTCATAGCTGACTGGTATACGAAGTGATCGTCGCCCTCACAACTTCTCCGCCGTCCAGGTTGGGCTCCCTTTCCTCATCCTCTCCTGCCCTCTCGGCCGGTCCCGCTGGCTTCATTGCTGACTCTTGCCCTGCCTCTGGGCCCAGGACCATTCCCTCTTCAGTCCGGCCTTGGCCCGAAGGCTGCACTCAACTGAACAAGTCGTTCTCTGACACACGTAGTCTGCATCCCACACCAGACCCACTCAATTGCAATTGCAATGTAAATGTAATCTCCCGCGCGGGCTCACGGCTAGCACCTTGCATCCAGCATCCAGATTTTCCACGCAGGGTCGACACGGCAACTCTCGTTGTGATCAGACGTCAACACACCAGATAATATATATATATATATATCTATAGATTAACCACGCGTGGCCGCGAGGAGTGCTGGCTTGGGAGGACAAAAGAAGGCTGGGGTGGTGGAAGGGGGACGGCCTGGGGTACTAATGCTGCAGCTGTAGTGGCTCCTAACGTAGTGTGAAGTATCGGGCCAATTGCTGGTCCTTGGTCCTCCTCCTCCTCCTCCTCCTCCTCCTCCTCCTCCTCCTCATCATCATCATCATCATCATCATCATCATCATCATCATCATCAGCAGCAGCAGCAGCAGCATCATCATCATCATCGTCATCATCATCATCACCATCACCATCACCACCACCACCACCACCACCATCACCATCACCATCACCATCACCATCACCATCACCATCATCATCATCATCATCATCATCATCATCATCATCATCATCATCATCATCATAATCATCATCCGCGCCAGCCGGGCGCGGCCATCAGAGGCTTGGTTTCCCTCCGGTCTGGGCCTGGGGCTGCGTCTTGCAGGCCTGAGGGGGTTTAAGCGAGTCCTCGAGACAATCGCGTGAAGAGTAGATTCGCACGGCCCTCGTCCGCGGAGGCGTGTCTGGGACGGGGAAGTGGCCATCGGATGGGTCCAGGGAGGTATCCTGGACGGGGACGGGGCTGTGTTCAGGATGTGGGTGTGTCCAGGATGGGAATTGGCCAGGATGGGGACGCGGACCCTGAAGAAGATAGGAAAAATCAGTGAAACATCGGTGCGCCTGGTTCCCATCAGTCCTACTGAGACTTGTCTTACACCGCTCCCAACGGTCCTGCTCGAGCGCCTAACTGCAGTTGACACCGCTACTGGTTGCGTGCCCCCGCGGGCTCCTTTGCATGTCCTGCACTCTTGTGCCTCCCACTTTCTCACCAGCTGCTGCTGTTACGTGTTGCATGCTACTGTATTAAGACATTGCTTGACGCTACGGCTACTGTTCGCCGACGCCAGGGTAACTAACATTGAGAACCAGAGTAGAGCTCAAGATGCACCAACCCCCCTGTAAGGACGAGCGACCAAATCGGAATGCCATCCAGGCGGGAGCCCCATTCTGAAAAGGAACCGCCCTGCAACCCTTGCAAACATTTGA